TGTGGCTGAGACCACAGCCAGAGAAGGCCAGGAAACCTGACAGCTCCTGGTGTGTGACAGCAGATGCCTGAATGGTTCCCTCTCTCCTATGAGCAGTGCCTCTGGCAGCAGACGTGATGGATCATCTGCTAATGCCAATAATCATCTTTTGCCACTAGGTTGATGCCCTGCCTGGACATTTTTGTGTTCTGTTGTATTATTTCATTATTTACTTGTATTTTCTTTTGTGGACCATGGCTGCATGTTTTGTTTTGTTTAATTTTATATTTTATAATTATTATTTTTTGGATTTTTATATTTTTTACATCCTTTTTCATTTTTGCACAATGTATGCATTTTCATCTTGGTTACAGTACCCATACAATTCCCACCACCCCTTCTTTTGATCCTACTCCCTCTTCCCCTCCCCCCCCATAGTGTGTACTGTTAAGGGAAGTTGTATATAGCTTGTGTGTAGAATGTATGGCAGAAAACCCTGAGGGGGTGGATTGTAGGGTAAATGGTTTTTAAGCTTTTTTGCCCTCCTGCCATTAGGATTGATGTGTCTAATGGGGCACCTGCATTTGTTACATTGTTATAAGTTGTACTGTTTACTTCTGTGGGCCATGGGTGCAGTATTAAGATATCTTTCAAGAGAAGCAGAGGCAGGAGAGAGAAAGGGGAGAAAGATCGCCAGCCCAGAGTGAAGACTTGCAAGGGGCTTGGAGGCCTTCTGGCCTGTTGTGTACCTGGTTGCTGCACTACATGTAAAAACTCAATAAAGGCCTGAGAAAGCCACCGAGGGATCCAAGACTCTCCTTTACCCATCTGGTCTGTTTGGATCATAGAAACCTGCTCAGAGGCCTTCCACCACACAGAACTTGTAATATTTTAGAAGTTTGACAGATTCAGAGATAGTTGTTTATTCAAGGTCAGTGCCCCTTCTAATTCTTGGTCTAGTGTTCGCTGCAAGTGTCTTGGCTGCTGCTACAACATGCACTACAAGTGACTTGGATAATTTGACTTAAATAGAATAGGAAACATCTTGAAACTTCTTGATTCCTCTGAGCATTTGAATAAAACTGGGTCTTAGGTTATTGTGGATTTATGATTATTTTAAACTACTATTTCTTCATTTGATATGAAATCCTACTTCAGATGAACTCCATGCAGTCCCAAAAATAGCTAAACTAGGTAAGAAATTACTTTTTGAAGTTTTAAAGCATTTTGTAAATATTTTTAGTCCTTTTCATCTTCAACTACTTCTTCACTTAAACATTCTAGAAAGAACCACAGAAAAGAAAGAGTAAGTTCTAAAATGTTGTAAGAAAAAGTAGTTTTTGAGGATTTTCTAGTTCAGTGAACAGCTGGAAGCATCAACTTCGTTTTCTCACAAATATCTAGTCAAGCATTTAATATCAAAAACCTCTAGCAGTTTATAGAAACATTCTAAAAGTTATGCCAGCTTCTTTGACCAAAGATAAATTCATGCATTTGATAGTCTCTCAGTCAATTGTAAATACCATAGGTGTTCCTCCTTGTACAGTCCTGTAAAAAAAAAAAAATAGGGTATTATCAAAAGGAACAGTGACAGAAAAAAGGTAACTTAGAGTCATATTTTGACTTGCTGTCTAATTTTTTTTTAAATAGAATGTTTTCTTTTTTTTTAAGATTTATTTATTTATTTATACAAGCACTGGGTACAGTCAGAAGCGTGGGAGGGTGAGAGAATTCACCAGAGCCAGAGTGGGGAGCAGAGAAGGCAGAAGGACCGAAGTACACTGCTGAGGGGAGCAGTGGGCGGCAGGAGAGGTCTGTGTGCCATGTGGGACCCTCCTCCCGTGGTCGGGGAGCAGCCGGGGATGGAACCGGCGCTGCAGGGGCTGCGGGCAGCTTCGCAACCCAGCGCTCAACCGCTTCACCACCGGGGAGGCCCCTTGGTGTCTAATTTGCAAGAACATTTAGAGTGTTCTCTGATAATACATTCAAACCTTATCCTAAAAGAAAATACATATGAGTGACATTAGTATTTGTTTCCTGTCTCTAGTACAAGATCTAGTATAATATTTTAAAGATTTTAAGTGCCCAAACTGTTGATCTGGATTGTGTATCATTTCTCCTTCAAGAAAAGCTAAAAAGATTAAGGTGTGTGTGTGTGTGTGTGTGTGTGTGTGTGTGTGTATGAAGAGCATTTCATAAAACAAAATAGAATATAAATCTAGATGTCAGAGATTAATGTTGGGTCAATATCAATTGCTTTTAATTCTAATAGATAGGTGAAAAAAAAAAAAGATGTAGAACTTGAGTCAGGCAGTCAGGCAAGAGAGGGCAGCTGGCAAACTTACTCCTGCATGATCCTGTATCCCCCAGCCATACTAAAGGCCCTTCCTCTGACCTGAATGGACCAGTTCCTTGTTCCATTGGGTGACCTGATGGCATTAAAGATATACATTAAGGCCAGGTATGGAAAGGGCTATAGGTTCATCTCTGGAGGAATAAATAGATAGTATAAATAAATAAATAAAAGAGATAAAATTATAGAGAGAAGTTAGGGTGGCAGTTTAGAGAAATGCCATCCTTTTTTATGTGTTCCTTCCAGATGTTACAGAGGATCAGAATGGGAGGGAACCAATTCCAAGACAGCATTCAAGGATGATACAGCTAGGAATCTAGTAGGCAAGACGTGATGGAGAGCTTTACCGAGGGAATGAGATGAGTGAAAGAGAGGGCTTAGAAGATAACTTTGGATTCCTGAAATCTTTGGAGTTCTCTTTATTTTGAAATTTGGAGTTTTACTCGTTGTTTATGCACCCCTTTACTAATAAACTAAAGACCCATGGGGACCAGGAGAGAGAAAATTGGAGAAGTTACTCAAGGTAGGTTTAGGGGAGGAGAGACAAAATAGGCCTTTATCTCTTATCCCAAATGGTACTAGTCAACTCATCCAAGTATATTAGGACTGAAAAATTTAGAATAGAATTATCTTTATGATAAAAAAAAGCCAAGCATGTGGGTGAAGTTTTTCATCTGCAGTATTAAAGAGGATGTTAGAGAATGAGGAGCCACAGTCTCAAATAATATTTAAGAATTCCAGTCTTCAATGGACTGTAGTGGACAAATATGGTTCCTTGGTGGTGGATGTGGTATGGTTACATACATCTGAGGAAACATGATCCTATATCTCTGCATCATGGACAGTGTTATAAGTAAGCCTGTGTTCCTCAATAAAAAAAAAAAATTAGATAAAGAAGCAATTGAAGACAGTCTGACTTTAAAAGACTTTGTTTCATGCCCTTTTTGTAATGGACATTGACTATTTATTTAGCTAAGGGATATGGTTACTTATATTTCTAATGTTGAATATATTTATTATTAAAAATAAGTTGTGATAAATTGTGCTGCTACTCCCACTACTCCACCAGCAGCAGCAATAAACACTTTTAATGTTTACACACTTTCAATGGTCACATTTCGTGTTTATGTCACAAAGTGGATAATTTTGTCCTAATTGAGGATATTAAGGTTCTTGAATCAATAATAAACAATATCATATAGCTGGCACTTTTTTTTTTAAAGATTTATTTGTTCATGCATACAAGAACTGGGGTACAGGCCAGATGCGCAGGAGGATGAGAGGATTCACCAGAGATAGAGGAGGGAACAGAACAGGCAGACTGACTGAAATACATTGCTGAGGGGAGCGGTGGGCAAGATAGGAGAGGTCTGCCACGCCATGTGGGATTCTTGCAGGCCAGGCGGGATCCAACCAGCATTGCAGAGACTGCAGACAGCTTCACAGAACTGCACTTAACCACCTGTGCCACCAGGGGAGGCCCCATATAGCCGGCACTTGGATTTGAAAAGAAGTATATGACTCCTATGCATATGCACCCTCTCTTACTGATAACTGGGCAAGTCAGATGTTCTAAAATGAATCACAGTATTCCTGGATATCACAAACCCACTCTTGTGAAAGTTCTGCTTTGGGAAATAACTTTTCTATTTTTCTTTTCTGTAAGCTGTGACTTTATTACATAAAACAATCTCACTCTAAAACATTCAATCTTCATTTTGGCAAGAGAGATTATGACGCAAATATGGAAGACTGGGCTTATGCATTGTGGTCTTTAAGGAATTTGGACATCATCTACTGCCTTAACAATGAAAAAAAAATTGTGACAATAAGAGCAGAAATTAAATGCAATTGGAGTATAAGATCTATATCTATATGTATCTGTATATCTCTAATTATTGAGCTAAATATCATTGTTTTGAGGATTTTTAATGTTAAGCTATAAATGGGACTATTGAAAAAGTTGTGAACAGTGTAAAGAATGACCAGATTTTTTTCTTTAGAATAATTTCTGTTGTAACAGCTCTAATACAGGGTTTAAGGGGAACAAAAATAGCACTAAGTGGATTCTGACAGTGAGCCTTGGAATAAGCTACCTGAGGAATGATGGGACCTGCTTGAAGGTCAGGGATAGAGGAAATTGAAGAGATACAGAAACTTATTTGGAAAATTAACTATCTTAAAAGGAAGAAGGCACTTCATGCATTGTCACTGGTGAGAAGGCAGGTTATTATGAAATTCATTCTGGAAGGCTTCTGCTGAGATGTGAAGAGGAAGATAAAGATAGTTATTCTTGTGAAATAACCACCAAAGGAGCAAGTGCTAATGAGGGGTCTGTTCAGTAGGCAGTTGAAGTTAAGGCAACTTATCTTGTGCTGGGAAGTGCAGGCACTTTGCTGCAGCTGAGGGCTATTCCACATGCTACAAAAGTGCAGAAACATTTAAAAAGCATTAGAAATTTAAGCAGTGTTTTGAAGAGCCTGCTGTGGTGAAAAACAATAACTGCCTAATAAGTAATAGCCACTATTACTACCTCTACTACTACCACCACCACCAGCAGCAGCAGAGTGTGCAGTATATTTTAAGAACCCCTATGGGGCATTTGAATTCTAAGTTCTATTAGAAATTGGAAATCACACAATTTAATTATTGTTTCTTATGATCTTAGGTGACCATGCAACATGAGAAGAGCAAGAAGACCTTAGATTTTGCAGCAAATGTGTGGTTATCTCTGATCCAAGCCGATGCGGATATTGTCTGTGAGCTTCCTGTAGTAAAAGGAGGTCAAGCTATTTTTCCATGTGTGTTATTAATCTTCAATAGTACATATTACATATATGCAAATTGTTTTAAAGTTGCTTATATTTACTTCTGAATGGTATAGTTACAGATTTTTTTTTAACTTGAGGGAGTTGTTTTACCCATCGACAAGACTTTTTCATAATCAAAGCATGGGTCACTAGTGGGTCTGGGGTTAAATATAACTGAAAATAAAAAAAAAAAAGACCTATAGTTCAGCTTCAGTCTCAGGGATTGAGACCATGAGAGAGAAAAAAATGTCATGTCTGTCTTCATCTGGCCCTTTGACCACCTCATGTCATCCCCTCACTTTTGATATATTTTCTCATCAAACTTTGTAACCTTTTAAATTTTAATAAGCATCATGTGTGATGACAGTATCTCCTTTGCAACTAAAACACTAAGCATGAAATGCCTTCCTCTATCATGCATAGAACAGTTTTTTTTTAAAAAGTATTTTTTCTGTCAAGGCTATATCCCCTGGACATTTGTTCATTGTCTTTAATTGCCCACTTATGGTTAAAATTAATAATTGAATGATTAAAAAATCTCTCAATAGATACAGAAAGTTCAGATCAGAGGAATTCTCATGTAATGTTTTTACTGGGGCCTGACCCATGTATTTGGGTTCTGCTTGTATGAGTTTCAAAGTGACATGTTTCCTCTTTACTCTCTCCCTTTTGCTTTTCCAGTAGTGAGATACCATGTTGATGTCCATACTGGGCAACTGGAGCAAGCAGGAACTGAGTCTGCAGTGTCCCTTTGTCTATATGGAGAGAGGGGGGATTCTGGTCTTAGGGTCCTGTACAAATCGAATATGCCAGTAAAATTTCAAAGAGGACAGGTAAGTCTGCACAAATATCTTTCCATATTCTTAGCAATCACCTTGAAGGTAGTTGTACATGATTGAAAATTCAAAAGATGCTTAATACTTAAAATTTTCATTTTTGGTTATCTTTACCACATGTTTCATTGACACTATATCTGATGTGCTTTGTTCTCAAAAATGTTTTTGAAAGGAAATGGTGTGCACTATATTAGTAATGAATAATGAAACAAAGAAAAATACATTTAAACTTAGTGATAGTTTAAGAAAAGAAAAAGTGAATTGGGATATCAGCGAAAATTATATATGAACATGCTCTGTCAGGACTGAAAGATACAAAGCCTTATTCTGAAAGGTCAGGTCATAAAAAGTCCATTATAGTTTATTCCAAATAATAACACCATAGCCTTTCAAGCATCTTAAATGGGGCCAATTACATTCTTTTCACACCTTAAAGACCTTCACTATTGTCCTTTGTCCTTTATATGTAAGTATCAACCTATATATAAGATGTTTGAGGAGTTTCAGTGAAATATGTAATCAGTCCAGTTAATTTTGAATGGTATTGTGTTATACATAGAAAGGAAGTACTATTTCAGGGCCTGAAATTAAGAATAGAATAAAATAGAAATTAAGAAAGAAGACTTCTAAGCAAGGTTGAGAAAGATTTTTTCTCAAACTTTCTTTGCAGTAATTCATGAAATATTTTAAAACATCAGTGATCTTAAAACTGATCTAATCCTTTCATTTTTCACTGCAGCATGCAGAAACTTTGATCAGAATGAATAGGAAAGTTAGATCTGCTTTGGATGAGGGGGAAAGAAACTTACATTGAATTTCTGTCATCACAAGTAAATTATTTTCAGCAGAAACAATGTTTTATATGCCATGATACTATTATTATTAAGGCATCAAGTGATCAGGGATGTTCCCTTAAAGAATCCTTTTCTTTTTTAAAAAGATTTATTTATTTATGCATAAAAGAACTGAGGTATAGGCCAAATGTGTGGAGAGGTGAGAGGATTCACTGGAGACAGAGTGGGGAGCAGAACATGGATCTACTGAAATATACCGCTGAGGGGAGCAGTGGGCAATACAGCAGAGATCTGCTATGCCATGTGGGTTAGCTCACTGGCCTGGGATTGAACTAGTGCTGCATTGGCTGCTAATACCTTGTCATTTAACCCCTTGTGCCACCAGGGAGACCCAAGAATTCTTTTCATATATCACTTTGTGACGCATGATAAAGATGTTATTTCTCCTGGATGTCTACTATTAGTTGTTACCACTGCGTGCAGCATTATGTGAAGTTACATGCTGAGATTTCACAAATTGTCTTCATGTCTTCTTAAGCTTCTTTACTTCATTATTGTGTATAGCATTTACCAGAGAGTGGGAAGGATATATTATAGGTTGACTTCAAAATTGGGTAGGAGGTATAATACCAATCGGTGGTGTATAAGTAAGAGTAAATATGTGGGTTTAATGTTATGCTTTGAAGTTTAGAGTCAGAGCTACATAGTTTTATTTTTTCTAAGCTCATTTTAGATATCACATTTTTCTATTATTTTTCTCAAAGCATGGAATATAATGCAAATTCCAAGTGACTTCAAGAGTTTTACAGTTGAGAAATTATGGCAATAATAGTTTATTTTGTTCTATTACCAGAATTATTTTACACAGTTAATATCATTAACTACAGATTTATCTGGTTGTCATTTTCTCTACAAAGTATCCAGGGGTATAATCAAACAGCAACAACATACACAATAGAATTAGTTTAATTTTATCTTCAAAACTGAAATTATTTTAAGAAACTAGAAGAAATTAGAATGCTGATTCAGGCAATCTTTTAGGACCTTGTGGTATTGTAGTTTTGTGTGTACCCCAATGCAGATCATAAGATTAAAGATAAAAGTAATTTATCTCAGAGATAGTACCAATAACTCATTCCTCACTCATCTTTAAAATGAGGAATGAGGAAATGATGCAAAAAAGAGAGAAAAGCCAGTAGTAAGGGCATTAATGAGCTGGTAAATGTTGGGACTCCTACTTGTTGTGGACTATCAGAGATACCCTGTGGAACACCCCTCAAAATTCTTGCACAAGGGGAAGACTTCAGACAAAGAAGCAGTGAGATATAGGATTAAGAAAGAAAGCTGTCAGCACACCTAAACTAGCTACCATTTGCCAAAGCAGCATCTAAACCCAGAAAAGGACCTTAAAGACAGGGCTGGGTATTCATCACATCTGCTACTGAAGGTGATGTGTGTCATAAGCATTCCTCACAGAGGCACACTGAGAATATAGCCTAGTGACTATCCAGGCACACCTGAGTAGATGCACATTTATATTCTAATTTCTGGAAATATCATCTTTGAACTAGTAATGGTTATGCTTTTGTCTAAAGCGAAGATTTTCATCAACAATGCAGAACCAAGAGTAGTTGGTTAAATTGAAATTTAATCTGATAACAATGTGAGCAACTGTTAAGATAACCTACTCCATATAGGAAATACAAATCATACTGTATTTGCATTTTTATCACATAGTAGGGTAAAGGTGGCTATTACTCAACTTTTGTTTCTGGGACTGTCTCAAATTTAATTAAATTCATGATCCTTTCCTCAGGTAATTTAGAGTGGTTTTTCTCAGAAACACTCTATGAGGAGGTAAAGTGTGAAGAATTTCTTTTAATACAACCAGTATAGCATTTACTTTAAGTTCTACATCTCTCTGGAAATGTCTGTGAGTTTTTGACATGGCCAAGAGACTATTTAGGATTTAAGGCTCCAGGAGGCTTTTCACAATAAACCTAAGAATATGCTGCATATTATTTATAGAGGGGAAAGTATAGGAGAGGGGTTTATGGAAGGAAGGCAAGAAGGATAGGAGGGTGAAAGGCAGGGAGAGAGAAAATTTATTCCTACAAGTTTCAAAGTATATTAGTATTCTTCAAAATTAAATGTACTGCATGTTTCACCATGTAACTGTCAATCTGATCATCTAACAAATTGCATCATAGGGACAGGAATCCAAGCAAGCAAAAAGCAATTCTAAAAGTCTTTGTCTAAGGTTTATTTATATTTCACACTAGATACTATCCCAAGTGGAAAAATATAACTGCAAAAGAGGAAAAAAGCACAGTCCAAAATCATTTTAATAATTGAAAAGTAATTTGCTTGTTTTTCTTTCCTTATTACTTCTTTTGATGCTAGCTGCATTTACATCTCTTTTAAAGTACTATGCTGCTTCTGGTAATTTGTGGGCTATTATTGCCTGCATTTGTCATGTGCTGGACTCTGGTTATTTCTGACAGTATTTTTCTGTCTCCTGTACCAGATTGATACATTTCAAATAGAAGCAGTGTCACTTGGAAAACTGCAGAAGGTGCTGTTGCACTGCGAGGCCAGTGACAAATCACAGTACTGGTACTGTGAAAAAGTCGTTGTCAGAGAACCTGGTACAACATCTGCATTGGTCTTCACCTGTGAAAGGTAGTGCTGGTCTGTGTGGTCCATCAAAAAAATGTTCTGCAAGGTGCTGTGTGCATGGGCACGTGTATTTCTCCATGTATTTGGTCATTTCACAGCATTTCACATCATGCATCACTCATTGATTGAGTATATAACCTATTGCTAAGCACTATAAGAAAATTTTACCTTGTAATTATTATTTCAATGTGCTGGATGGCACAAGAGGGCCAAAAATCTAATGCTAGAAATAATTACATAATTTGTGAGAATATTTGTTTGAATGTTGGTTTCTTTATATCCTAAAAGACAGTGTTATAGTAACATTACAAGGGAATTAAGTAAGGAGAATTTTAGAGAAAACTCTTAGAGCATAACTTAAGAAAAACAAAGATTAAAATCTAAATAACAATGACTTTCTCCTGAACCCTGTAAACAATTGTGATGTGGGATAAAATTCCCTCCATTTCTGATCTGGCCCCACTGCCTTTGGTTTTAAACCCCAGATTCCACAGACACTCCCTTCTTAAAAATTCTTTGTCAGAAATTGGGCCTTTGTTTGCTTAAGAAAATGTCACTCATTTTCACCAGAAGAAATCTTGCTTTTTTGATCCTTGCTAGAAGTCTTTCTCTCTTTATCTTCGCTAAATCCTGCCCTCTCAAGAAAGTGCTCAGTTTCAGTTTGATGGCATTGGTATTCACTGTTGGTCGGTCTCTCAGTCACAGGGAAGAGAACGGGCCCCTGACCCATGAACAGGATGCTATTGTGAACATTGGAGTAAGAAAATTTGAACTTCATTTAAAAATTCTGGGAATAGCCCTAAAGCCTTCCTCCAAATAGATAATCAATAAGAAATGTGACCAAAAAAAAAAAAATTAGGCAGAAACAGAGACATTAAAAATTTAAGGATATGGATTTTAAGATGCCAAAGATAATTGCAACTTTAATTCTAAGCAAAAAGTGGAACAAAAAATAATTAATAAAAATACTAAAGATATGTCACTAAAAACTGCAGACACCCAAGATGATTGGAGATGACTGACCTGGAAAGAAGTAATGAGAGACACATTTATTCTTTAGTATTTTATTGTATAGTCTTGCCCAAAAATTTTTCATAAGAATATATAAGGGAAAATATTTTTTTAAAAGCAGTTTTTATTTATTTTTTATTTTTTAAAAGATTATTTTATTTATTTATACAAGTACTGGGTACAGTCAGAAGCACCGGAGGGTGAGAGAATTCACCAGAGCCAGAGGGGAGAGCAGAGCAGTCAGACTGACGAAGTACACCGCTAAGGGAGCAGTGGGCGCGGCAGGAGAGTTCTGTTGCACCATGTGGACCCTTGCCCGGTGGCCGGGGACCCTCACCGGTGGCCAGGGACCAAACTGGCACTGCAGAGGCTGCTGGCAGCTTCACAGCCCAGTGCTCAACGCTGCACCACCAGGGGAGGCCCTTGAAAGCAGTTTTTAAATTACATCTTCTCCCTGTTCAAAAATCTTCCTTAATCTCCATTGCCTACCAAAACAACCCCAAAAGAAACAAAAAACAACTTTACGATCTTTCCATTCAGGTGTATATACCACTTAATTCCATTTCTCCCCTTTTAGTTTGCTTTTATGAATGTCTTTTTGCAAGATCTTAGTGAAATTAGACAACCTTTAGTTATCTGAACAAGTTCTACTTAATTTTGCAAGAGTCTGTGGACTCTTGGAGTGTGTTTTTTTTCACTGAGGAATGCCCTTCCGCTAAACTCCTTGTCATAATCCTGTCCATTTGTAATTTCATTTTCTAATTCTGCTGCTATCTGGAGCTAATTGGTCCAACTAGAAACAATGTCTCTCTTCTCCCAATGCCTACTCAGAATTTGGCATAATGCATGCACATAAGTATCTTGGGAACTGAGAAGCAGCACATGGGTATCTTACAGGCTGAGAGGCAGCTATAATTTATTCTGCACATCAGAAGAGTTAAGGAGTGATTCATCTGTGGTTTTCTTCATAGAGTCTGATGAACTTTGTTATGTTAATCTACTTGATTTATTTTACATGTGAAACCTCCTGATGTAATTTAGAGCTATTTATCATACATTTCATACTTACACATATATACCATGCCTCACTGCTGTCCCACCATCATTAGCCCACTGCCTCATTACCCTTACCTACTCCAGTACTTTATTTCATGTCTCTTCTATGTAAACCTGGCCTTGTTTGGAAGGAAGCGATGGAAGTGATAGCTTAATTTAGTTTCATAGGATTGTAGCTGAAAAAAAATGAAATCATGAAGTATGTCAACAACCATAAGTAATACAATGGATATGCACTATTTTGATGTAACAAATGTTAATATTTGATGTTATCCCATATGTTCTGATGCAATGGTAGCCAATACTCATTCACACAGTAAGTACCCTGAAGAAAAATGTAGATTGCATAAACCATCCCTTCCTATCTGTAGATTTATGCAGCAGATCCTATTTTCTTAATTCTCATGGCAGAAGAGTAGAGGTGCCAGGAACAGAACTCAGGTACCACTACCCTGTGCTTACCAAAACCTTCTCTCGGATTATAAAAGGTCACGGACAGCTGACTCTCAGGCAGATGAGAGTCTGAAAGACGGCTCTCACCTGAAGGGAGACCTTCAGCTCTCTTAATTATGGGCTGCTTGGTCTCTTCTCAGACCAGGTGGGTGACTGGTCAAGGTGGGGTACTGAGTGCACTCATTACTGGTAATAGGCTCTGAGGTGCAGGCAAGATAAATGCTCAAGTGTGTTATACACTTGAGGGGAATTTGTAAAGAAAATTTCAGTCATACTCCTTGATGATTCTTTATGGAACAAGCACTTACAGCACAACTGATTTAGGACAGAGAGAAAGACCACCAAGTGTTAGTTTCTTTTATAAGTCAGAGGGGGAAATGCAAAGCATAGCTGTGAGAAGAGAATGCTTTCGTGCACCACAGATGCTTCCTGCAAGGATTCGCATCTCCTTTTCTTTTTTTACCCCCTCTTCAATTGAACACCCACATCCTTATGGTATTATTTTATTCCTACACTAAGGATTTTATTTTTCTGTCTTTTGTATATTTAATATAGACTATACACCACTGACTCTACCATTAACACATAATGTTTGGCTATTTGAGATTTGGAGCAAGCAAAATTTGTATTTGAATCAGGCAAACATTCAACTGACTATGCATTGAAGTAAATACTCTTATTTATTATTTGTATGAGTTTCATATAACTGCTATAACAAATTACCACAAACTTGGTGACTTAAAACAACAGAAATCTATTCTCTCAAAGTTCTGGAGGACAGAGATCTGAAAGCCAAGTATCAGCAGGACAGTGCTCCCTTTGAAGGTGCTGGGCAAGGATCATTCTGCCTTTTCTAGTGCCTCTCTGTGCTTACACATAGTCCATGCTCTTCCTTGGTTTGCAGCTTCATCCTTCCAATCTCTGTGTCTCTTATAACATTGCTGTTTTGTTTCTTTCTGTGTGTATCTCTGTGTCACTTTTCTTCTTGTAAGGAGTCACTAGACAAGGGCTAACCCTTCTCCAACATTTCAGTATAATTAAGTACAACTGCAGAGAGTCTATTTCCAAATAAGATTGTATCCTGAGGCTTTGAGTGAACTTTATCTTGAGGGGTGGGGAGACACTGTTTAATACAGTATATTATTTAAGTGGATCCCATGAACTACTCTCCACTCAAGATTTGTTAGTGTTAAGATAGAGATCTCTAGACTTTTCTGTATGTTACCCAGCTTGTTGCAGTATTGTGTATGCATGTGTGTATATACCTTAACCTTAATGATGAAGTCATTAAAAGGAAGTAAATATTTACATTTTGCAGAAACAATGTCATTTACAATATATCTGTTGACTCACTTGAACAATGAGGGTCTAGATCATTAATAGCAAAGAACTTCAACCCAATGACAAGGAGAGCCAAAAGTCTCTCAGTGTCACCTTCCATAACTTCTGATTGGCTTGGGAAATGACAGTGATATGAACTTGTAGGAGCAGGTTATTTAAAATAAAGGCCCTACCTAATACAATTCTAAATAGAAGGAGGTTTATAAATGCAGGAATTGGAAATTTAGCTACACATAAATGATGTGTTTTAAAACTAACTGGACATGTCAAGGTAGAACAACATGACCAGTTTTATTTTCTCAAAACCAAATCATAGATAGAGTGACCTGAAGCATATTGCCCTAAGGAATAAGGACAAAATGCTGTATAGTTTTCCTTAGAGTTGATTTTGCAGCTAATACTTTTAAAGTGTTTCAGCCTCATTTCTATTGCAGATTATTTGCTTTATTATGATTTTTTTGATAAAAGTTGAGAAAATTTCCTTCAAAATGGAAGAAAAGACTTACAATGGTCTCTATTATGGATAGAATAGTCTATCAGCAATCTGGATACTTTTTGTAGGTGGAATGCCATCTCCTCTTCAGGGTCTTCCTCATCTTCCCATTATCCTTAATATCTTATTAAGTGTTGAAAAGAGAGTCTTTTGCTCCATTAAAATAATTGTGAGCCTTACAGATGTATGAGGAAGGTATTTGAGCAGAGGCAGGAAAGACATTACCCACATTGTTGGAATTGTACAGTATGGAAAGCACTGGTGCTGAAACTGCCCTTGACCACACACTGAGCTGGGAACAGATCAAGAGTCTGTTGCCTTTCTGCTCTGGAATGTCCATCTGAGTTCCCCAACTTCTAGTCCAAACCTTCCTTCCTCCCCCATAGAGTCTAGTAGGCTCTTGCTGATGTATTCACTAGTGAATTAACAAAGGTGTGTCACCTTTGCCTGGGAGTCTTTTCTGAAGCCTCTGCTTGGGCCAACTGTTGTTTCCCTCTGTGCCTTTCCCAAAAATGCATTAACAGTAGCTTAGCACATCCTATATTCAATTATATTTATGTGTTTCTGTGTGCATTTAACCTCCCCCAACTCTCAGAAGACTTTCTATAAGGTCAGGTTAATGTCTTATATTTTTACTCCCAGATCCTACCATGGATCCTGGATAGGTTAAAATGATATCTGTGTCCAGTAGAACCAAAGGCCATATATTAATCAAGATGCCATAGTCCTAAGGGAAATCATATTAAATGAAGGATTTGAAATTAGAACAGGGAATCTAAAAAGTTTAATGTTCTTAAATGTTTAAATATGTCTTAATCTCACTAAAGCGTGCATAAACAAATTTATTACTTAATGTGCATTTTTAATATTAATACTTGGGAATGATCCTTAGCGTTAGCCCAAGAGTTTAAAACAACAACAGAAACAACCCAAATGCCCCAAAATAGATGACTGGATCAAGAAGATGTGGTACATATACACCATGGAATATTACGCAGCATTCAAAAAAGATAAACACATGCAATTTGCAGCAACATGGATGGCGTTGGAATGGATCATGCTCAGCGAAATAAACCAAAAAGAAAAAGAAAAATACTGGATGGTCTCACTCATAGCAGGAATCTAGAAAACTTAAATAAGAGACCAGGAAAAAGAATAACTATAAGAAGTAAAAATCAAAATCAACAAACAACTATGAACCAGAGACACTATATGAGGGGTGGGGGGCGGGGAGGGGAGGGATTGGCATCAAAATGAGGGGGTTACAATTGTATGGGAAATATAAAAATAAAATAAAATAATAAAAAATAAAAAAATAAAAATAAAACAACAACAACAAAAAATGCCCCCCTCATATAGATTCTTAATCAAAACACAATTTACTGTCTCAGTCTTGAAAAACTGCAGTTACTGGTTACTTTTACTGTCTGGTAGGGTGAAGTGCATTTTCTTTGACTCCCACTCAGTGGCCTCAAACACCAGCAGGGCTATATCTTGAGGCAAGTGATTTTTAAACAATAGCAAAACTAATAATCACCCCTCCACCATTTCATCATTATTATTCACAGAGAATTTTACTTGCCTAATTGCTTTGTGCCAACTTTGATGGTTATTCTAGGAAAATTACACATGAAGGCCCAAGCTCTTAGGGGATTGTAATCAAAGACCGCCGGTGACCACAGCACAAACAGAGCAGAACATAGTCTCCTAGTCGGTACTCACAAAGTATGTACTAAATTGGTGAATTTGTAAATTAATCATTAACCAAGTAATATACAGAGCAGAATTGAGAATATCATTTGAGGAGGAGCATCAGGAAAAGAACCAGGAGCAGCCCAGTGCAAACAGCATCCTTTTTTTGCATCATGATGGTTGACAAGGGAATTTTCATCTAGGCCAAGGTATATGTGAATTTGTTAGTTTGTGGTGCTGGGTTTAAAATGAATTTTAAACCTGCCTCCCATCAACCATTATAGGCTTCTTTTCTAATTCTCCCCATTAGTGCATGTTTTTTTCCCTTCCCTGTACATTCTATAAGGATATAAATACTCTGTTACCTCACATGTCTTAGCTCATTTTATTCTTTCCTCTGCTTATTGAAATCCTTATCTTTCAACACCCAAGATAAAATGATATCCTTGCAGTGAAGTTTTCTCTGCTTGATTAACCACAAGTGAACTCCTCTTAATTCTCCTTAAGATCCTCCAGCCATTTGTTTAGAATTCTATGTAATATTTTCCACATAACATCCATTGTCATTGTTTGTGTACACGTGTGTCTCGTGTTCTAGTTGGTAAGCTTCAAACAGTTGGATCTCACTCATTCCTCTTGTCCAACATGGCTTCTCGCACCAAGTTAGGACTGGGCAAATATTTAAAGAAAGGAAGGAAGAAATGATGGAGTGGTAGGAAGGGAGGGGCAGAGGAAGGAAGGGAGGGAGAGGAGGACTAATAAAAAATACAATTGAATCCCAAGTTGGAAGAAACCTTAGAGATCATCTAATCTTCACATGCATTTCTCTATAACATCCTCAGATGTATCATTAAAAATTGTTTATGTATTCTTTTATTTTCAAAACAATTCAGCTTATGTGCAAAGGGTTTTACTTTCCCTTTCTGGGATGTAGGGGCAATGATGAATAGCATAACATAGATAAGAAAGGATCTTGAAATTTTGATAAAACACAGAAATGTAAAATACTATTTTAGGGAGAAGAGAATAATAAAAATTATCATGAGACAGTGAGCAATCATTTAACTTTACTGATTTTTTTCTGAAAGAGGCCACTATTAATCATTCCTTGCTATTCTGAGCATGTATTTGTGCTGTTGCAGATTTCTGAGCTCTTCTTTGTCAGTTTGAGCCATTCCTTGGTATAAAAGTGACAAGTAGTGATGGTGGTGAACTGACAGAATGAGGCTCAGTGATGAGTCTTGCTCATTTTTTTGGAATGGGGGTGGAGACATAGAATCTTCTTATAAGCATTTAGTATTTCTTCTGCCATTTTCCATGTCAATGAGTGATTGCCCTATCTAAACTATATCTCAGACAAAATTTAAATCTATATTACCTTTTTTATACCCTTTCCCCTCCAAAAATAACTCACATGTTCTAGGGCAAGATCACTCAAACACATTCCATTGTTGTCTAATCTTAAAAGACTTAGAACAATTTTTGTTTCTCTATTTGTGTTTGATAATTAGCTCACTGATATGGGGATGCATAATTATGCTTTGGCTGGTTGCTTCATAGTATGTATGGTTTTTGTGCAAATAAGCTCTTTCTGCTTGCTTTTTATCCCCTTCCTTCAATGTCATCATACTCCTCAAGTCATACTGCTACAGTATTTCAAAATTATTGAGGTAAAGTAGGTTTATATCTTCATGTCCTATTCTAATTTATAGAATGGTACATGAGTAAAGATCTAATGATAATATAAAAGCATTATTTTAATTCCATATCAATTATGGCCGCTAAAGGAGTTAAGATTTAATACTCTTGAAAATTTCAAGTGTTTAAGAAAACTGAACCTACAGAAATAGGGAGGGTATTATTTTTAAGTGGAATAAAATACTCTAAAGACTCTTACTCTATGGGCCATAGCATTGCCTTATTACACTATCTTCTGAAGATAAGAGAGAAATCATAGAAGAGACTTTCTATAGATAGACTAAACAAGGAAAGAGACTAGAGAATTGTTTTTGAAAAATTTAATCAATCAATCAATAACCTGAATTTGGCTTCAAGGAAGAGAAATTCAGAAAGCTTAATTAATTAATTTCTTTATTTATACAAGCACTGGGTACAGTCAGAAGCGCGGGAGGGTGACAGAATTCACCAGAGCCAGATTGGGGAACAGAACAGGCAGACTTGACGAAATACATTGCTGAGAGGAGTAGTGGGCGGGCAGGAGAGGGCTGCGCGCCATGTGGGACCCTCGCAGGGGGCCGGGGATCAAACCAGTGCCGCAGAGGCTTTGGGCAGCTTTGCAGCCCAGTGCTCAACCGCTGTGCCACTGGGGAGGCCCAGATTCAGGCTTAAACTGTAATAAGATACCATCTCACACCTCTGAGATTGGCACATATTGAAAACCTTCAACAGCAAGTGCTGAAGAGGATGTAGAGAATGAGGATTTCCATCAGACTGTTGGTGCAAAGGTAACTGGTGCAACCATTATGGAAAGCAATGTTTCTTTAAAAGCATTCTTACTTGGGCCTCCCCGGTGGCGCAGCGGTTGAGCGCTGGGTTGCGAAGCTGCCCGCGGCCTCAGCAGCGCCGGTTCGATCCCCGGCTGCTCCCCGGCCACCAGAGGAGGGTCCCACATGGCGCGCAGACCTCTCCTGCCGCCCGCTGCTCCCCTCAGCAGTGTACTTCGGTTCTTCTGCCTGCTCTGCTCCCCGCTCTGGCTCTGGTGAATTCTCCCACCCTCCCGTGCTTCTGACTGTACCCAGTGCATGTATAAACAAAACAAACAAACAAATAAATAAATAAAAGCATGCCTCTATTAAAAAAAAAAAAAAAAAGCATTCTTACTTAAAAAATCTAAATATGGAGATCCTATGTGACCTAGCAATCCTTCACTCTTGAACACATATCCAAAGAATATGAAACCGTCAGCTTTGTTCTATAATGCTCTTAGCATCATTGATAATAGCTAGGGCATGGAAGCAACCTAAATGTCTATTGATAGAGGATTGGGTCAAGAAGATGTTTTATATCTACACAGTTACTATTTAGCCATAAGGGAAGGTGAAGTGCAGCCATATCAGCAAAATGGAGGGAGTTTAAGAAAACTCTGTGTAGTAAAGCAAATCAGACAAAAAAAAAAATACTGAACATTTACATAGCAGATGATTTGATAGAGTAAAATAATTACAAAATCTAGTGGATGTTAATAAATACTGTGTGGGCTCTGAGATTAAACTGGAATGGTAAGGGTAAGTGATAAGAAGTTATAATGAATGGTGGTGGGGAAAAAGAAAAACTAAAATAAAATGGTGGACATTATATTTCTATAACAAATTTCTCTCCAACAAATAGACTGGACTATTCCTAGACTAGCCTCAGTGTCAGGATTAGAGTCTCAGTCCGGCCCTTGCCTTTGTAACAGCTTGGTATGGGGCGGGGGTGCTCTGCTGGAGTCCAGGTGCATTTAAAGGCTTTAGTGATTTAAGACTGATAAGCCTAGGGAAGTTGATAGAAGTAAGTTTAGCAAATTATATATTTTATCCTTTCAGCCACAGTTGTGATGTCAGCCTTACTACAATGATGAGCTGATTGGAATGTATTTGACATTATAAAAAGACTTTTTTATTTAACTTTTAACATGCAAATTTAATGCAGAATCAAGCTTATTGTAAAAATTTTGGAAAACAAAAATTTTCTCTCTCTTTTTTCTTTTCCTCAGATGGCTCCCCTTTATGTCTCTGGGCATAATTCATTCAGAAATTGAACTTTATCTTCAAGGTGAGGATTAATGAAACCTTCAGTAGAAGAAAGTGCAAGATGATTTTAATACAACTGGACATCATGGAACATTCCTCAGTTGCCCATATACTGTCCCCTTTGATAGTTTGTCCTTTACATCATATTTATATTATTCCTCATAGTGAAAATAAAATCATAATTAAAGATGTGTCTTTGTAATGTTATGTGCTCTACTATAAGTTAAAACTCAACTTGAGGATTTGCTACTATTAAGGAGTTAAACACACTTCCTTTTCTCCCATTCATAATGCCATTAGACAGATCTATTATTAACTGCACTTCACTTTTATTTTTGCAGAAATGCAAATAGATCATCAACCTAAAATACAAGAGGAAGCAAATGGTAAATGTTGTTGTCACTTTTCATCTTTTAATCATGTGAAATAATCTTTTTCTATGTCAAGATTTCCTTCCTTGTATAATTTATATTATACAAGTTTATTCTAGTTGAATTTAAACATTGATTGAAAAATATTTAAAATAGCATAAGAATAGGCATTATAGTTTCATTTAAAATAAATTAACATGAGGAGCTTTAGCCCCAAACGCTTTTTACCTTCAGTAAATATATCAGAGACATAATCATTTTCAATGACTAATTTTAATTGTATTTTTTCTTACTAACTTTGCATATTGATTTCTCAGTTTTCTTTTTAAGTCCTTTGAGATTAGCTTTTTCCATTAGATCCTCTTCAAATCAACCTTTGATCCTGTTATTAGTATATTTACATTTTAAGGTTGATCTGAATGAGATGGATACAGATTGTTAATATGCATACCAAGTGAAAACCCTGTATGTTTTCTAAAATGTTTGCACTGTATGCATAATTTGAAAGTAGACAAGGGTTAATTGTGTTAGAAAGTCCTGTGTAGAATAGGATGTCCACCAAGATGCAAATATTGTGCACTCTGAAAAGTAGGTTATACTAGCATTTATGTTTACTGATATTAGAAACTGTACTTTGACTTATATTTTTACTTTTTGTTATTTATTTATACAGGAAAGGCTGTACATAAATCAGAATATTAATATGGGCATAGTTTTACATTCCAGACACTCTCAGTAATTTTAAAGGGCCTCAAAGGTCTCTGTCTTGCAGTACGCCCATTAGCTTGAAATGACATCCTAAGTAGAAAAATTATCCACTAATTCCAGAACTTGATGGGATATATATGAATAATATATGCTCATAGTTTTACACTGTAGATTTGAATTAGGAATGAAACTGTTGAAAGTTCTTTGTTAATAATATTACCATGTTACCAATGTCAGTGATAACAAATATAATTAAGTTGCATTATCCAGCAGAAGTGTTTACATAGGTGTTGGAAATGCTTTATCAGTATGATTTTGATTAAAAGTAAAATAATATAAATTTTTTTCTTATAATTAATTTAATGGCCTCCTTAAAATATCTTTATTTTTAATAGTACAATGTTATCTATCTGTGATTGGTCCTCTTTTAGCTTATTTTATTTTTAACTTCTGAAGAATGTGAGTAATAAATTTTCTCAAGATATTTTGTAGTGATCTATCAAGGCAGCCATGTCACTAAATAGCCACCTTTTCTTGTCCTAAGTTGCTGTTTAGTGCCTAGTACAGTGTGGAATAGAAACAGTATGGTAACAATATTGAAAATATATAGTGTTTGATACGTAGAGTCAAGTGGTTTAGATATATTAATTTACTTAATCCTCACAATCTCCCATGAAGTAGATACCATTATTCATTTCATAGGTGATGAAACTAGCTGACACGGTTTTTAAAATTTGCCTAAATTCACAAAAGTGGGAAAAAGCAGATTTAGAACTTGAATCCAAATGGTTTGACTTTACAATCTATACTGTTCTTGCATTAAGAAAGTTCTAATTGCTCAGTCATTTAAAAAATGTGTTTTTGTGTATGTATACCTTTCATGTCTTTAGATTTATTTTGGTGTATTAATTTTCTCACCTGTTAGGCTATATTTAGATCTTTAGTGTCTCATTTTACTCCAGACCCAAATGAAAGGATGTTTTTAATTGTCAGGGCAGATTAGTAGTAGTAGTATCCTTGTTATTATTCTTTACCCAGAACTTTGTGGAGAAAGATGATGATGATGATTTTGGCAGTGGGAGATTTTTCTTACTTTTTTAGAAGTGAGGTGATGTAAAGTTTGGCGTTTGTGGGTTTTTGTTGTTGTTGTTGTTGCAATTCATTCCAGATTTTCATTACGTTATAGTAAAAGAGTTTTAAAAATATCTTCTCAGAAAATTGAATCAGAATTGTCAGAAACTTGTCTTATATGAAAGAACTAGTGTTGGAATTCAGCTCTTAACCATTAAACAAAATGATTTCCCTTTAAACGAGTTTGCTTCCTACATGCTCAAGGGTTCCTGACATAAGGAACTTTAAAATTCTTGAAGCATTTACTTGTTTATTTACAGGCAATGCCAACTCCTCTGGAGGATAATTATTAGGAACTTAGTGGATTATCTGCAGTAAAGATAATTATAAAATACTTTTTACTTCCTCTCAGTTCTCTCTTCTATCACTGGCCTCACTAGCAAATAGTGTCTCTCAAGGAAGGAAATTGATACTTAATTACTAGACTTAACTAAAAATAATTAAGAACACAAGCTATTCTACAACATCATAACATATTCTGAGTAAGGGATAGATGGTTTTGGTTTGCTCCCTGTTCTCATCATTATGGCATAATGTTTTGTAAATGCGTGGATAGTAATGAGGTGACTATCTTAAGTTCCCATGTAAGCAGGCTGTGTTTGAAGTCTTATTTCTTCACAGGAAGATACACTGTGGGTGTCTGATAATCTGGGCAGGACCCATAGGTCAGTGTCCCAGTCAAGTGCCCGTAAAATGCACGGCTGAGATGCCAGAGAAACCACCTCTGGGATTGCCTCATCATCCCCAATACACATAGGCTGCAACTGGGTTAACAGTTTCCAGTGGGGCAAAATGGGAGGATAATTCAATATGTTAATAAGTTTGGGGCCTAGAGGGAGAGGGTGAGCCCAAAGGAATTCTCCTCCACAGAGGTAGGCGGTTGCTGTGACTTACTGTTTAGCGCTTAGAACCTTTAGTACGAGTCTGCTAGGCAGTATTAAGTAAGCAGCCAGGAAGTTAATACAGTGCTTCCCAGGCCCTCCTCTTTGACCTTTGTCTCATTTTTCTCCCAACATTAAATGGCCAGTGTTTGGGTATTCATTAATGCTACCTTAGTTCTAGAACTGGTTAAACTTTGCCTGACTGAAACAGGCATGATTCAATGATATAATTGAATGGAGTAGATTTGTTATAAAACAGTAATGCTCTGCTCTCAGTCTCTTGAGAATATCCAGCAGTTTTGTAGAAACATTCGCAACAAAGAATCTATCCACCAATTTGTATTTAAAGATAATTCACAGAAAGCATAGTATGGTTTGGGGAAAAACAGATTAAATCAAGTGTCACTTAATCTGAGACAGGGTTTCTAAACCTTGAAACTATGGACATTTTGTTTTATGGAACATTCAAATATATCATAAGCTGTTTAGCAGAATTCCTGGACTCTTCACTGGTTAGTAATAATAATCCCTTCCCAGTTGTGACCACAAAAAAAAAAATGTCTACAGGCATCACCATATGTCTCTTAGCCACAAAATTACCTCAGTTGAGAATTTTGATCCATCCAAGTAAATGTTGACTATTTTTTGAAATGTATTTGGCCAATGAAAATGAAAACAAAACAAAACAAAAAAGAAAAAAAAAACTGTAAATGGATCAATCCAAATGATTTCTCTGTATAAATGAATTATATAATTAAAAAGAATCACGCATATAATCACCATTACAAAAAAGAAGAGAGAATGACTGAGAGAACAGTGGTTCTATTGGAAAAGGGAGGTAAAGAGTTTTGGAATGGACATGTCTGGAAAGGGAGATGAGTAGATGTTTTTAGACAGTATGTGCTAAAAATATCCATAATTGTAGAATTTTTTGACCCATGTGCTTTTCCAGACCCTTGCCAATTTCCTAATTAAAATGTGCAATCAACCTGGGTAGCCTTTGAAACTGCCTCAGTGAGTAGTTGCAGCATAGTTACTCTATGTAACATTTCTGTTGGAAAATGTTTACTCATAAAAGGCAATATTGCCTCTCACAGGGGCCCCTCTTCCTTCCTCCCTCCTCTCTCATATCTCTGAAACTCTGCTATTATCTGAGGAACTTCATACTGCATGGAGAGACATGAAAACTGAACACCCTGGTTAGCAGTACAGATTCTAAGTCTTGAGTATAAAGTGCGGCACTAACACTGTGACCTGGGAGATCAATATTTCTCTGCATTCTGGTTCAGCTTCCAACCAGCAGCCAGCACCAACCTTCCAGTCTTGTGAGAGTGACATCTTGAAAGCAGAGTCTCCATCTGAACTGGAGCTGCTCCAGCTGACTGTGTGGAGCCAGATTCTATGCCAAATCTGGCCCAAATTGCAGGTTCATTGGCAAAAAAAAAAAAAAGTTCTAATTTATTAAGCTTTAAGGTGGCATATTACACAACAATAGAAAACTACAGTTGTAGAAAAGTTGGTAAAGTTCATGTAGACCTGCATTTGTGTGTCAAGATTTAAATAGTAAATATATTGATGATCATATGAGTTGCTATCCTGAGTGGCACAGAGTGATATGATTCAGAAGGTAGATTAGTGCCTAGATTTCTTGGAAGTCAGAGGATGAAGTACTTGAGAATTGTTAGTAAATACTCAGAAGAAACAAGTCAAAGTAAGGTTGGGAAGGTGATTAATAGAGGCAGAGGGCATAAGGGAGGTTTATTAGCAGGCATGAAGTAAAACTGAAAGAAGTTTGGGTTAAGGATATAACAGAAATTTCATTGAGCAGAAGCTGGAATCCGGGTTGAGTATGGTCACAGGACATCTGAGGCACCTGAAAGGAAGGTGACATTTAGCTAGCGTGTTCTCCTCCCTGCAAGGATTAAGATTTGAAATGGAGGGCCTTCCTGGTGGTGCAGGTCGTTGAGCACAGTGCTGTGAAGCTGTCCACAACCTCTGTAGCGTGGGTTTGATCCCGGCTGGCCAGAGAGATACCCACATGATGCGGCAGACCTCTCCTGTCTTGCCTACTGCTCCCCTCAGCAGTATATTTCAGTCAGTCTGCCTGTTCTGTTCCCTGCTCTGCCTCTAGTGAATCCTCTCACCCTCCCACACATTTGGCCTGTACCCCAGTTCTTGTATGCATGAATAAATGAATCCTTAAAAAAAATATTTGAAATGGAGTTAAATGCATTAAATGAAGATGCAGGGGGTTAATGGTAAACTGCATTAAAGTTCAGTCATCCTGCCTTGATA